GGATGAGATGGTTAGATAGCATCACCGAAGCAATGAACATGAAATGGAGCAAACTCCGGGAGGCAGTGAAGGGCAGGAAGGCCTGGCATGATATGGTTCACGGGATCATGAAGAGTCCACATGACTTAATGACTGAACAACAAAAAAGAATTCCTAGAGGGCAGCCATTCCTTCACACCTTTCAAGGAACAATAGGATTAATCATCTTGTGTATCAGGCTCTGGGAAATAAAGTCTTCTCTCTCCTTCAAGCAACCGCCTGCGTGTTTATCACCGGCTGGGAGACGAACTTCGTAAGCTTTCTTTCTAACAGTAGAATTGTTAGAATTATTTCTTATCAGTTCGTTCTGAGCTGGGATCAAAGAGACGACAGGTGGTTGCATGAAATTAAGTTCTTTATTCTTCACCCAAAAGCAAAAGCAATCAGCAAGTTGATAGGTGGGTGGCTGCAGCTCGACCCCCTCCCCTGAACACAATAGATAAATTTCATTCAGCCCCTCCCTTAGAATGCCACCCCTTACTCAAGTCACCCATTTCCCACCTCGGTATTATTCCATATTAAGAACTTCGTTCCTTCCTTTCTAGGGCCCCTTGACCATTAGCTAAACACCTTTTCCAGAGGAAGACTATCCTTGGAATGTACACCTTATCTTGTCTCTATGGGAACAGCTTCTTATTTATCAAGGTTAGTGAGAAAGGCCTCCAAGCTTGCAAACTTAAAGGAAAGAAGAAAGCAGAATTTATGGGTGGCACATAAATCAAATTTATGTGCCGCCCATCTCACTATCAGTGACTCTAGGCAGCTCACAAATACGAAACAAAAACACTTAAAAACTACAAAACCCATTAAAAGACTACAGATGAAGTTAAAAAGCAGAGAGAGTACCAACCACTCCCAGTCCTTGACGAAAGTCTAAATGCTTCAATAAAAAAATAAATATGTGTGTAAATTCTAACTATGAAATATATGTGTATGTAATTATGTAAAATCTTCTATCATCATGTATGTGGGATTTGTTTTAAATGGTACGATCACTGATACCTTTTTGCTGCTGCAGCTTGTTATATTTTTTTAAAAAAGGAAAAAAAGTCTAGAGGTAGTCAGAAAGAAAAGCAGTTTGCTCCAAACTTAAGTGAACGTCCAAGATGCAGGACCAAGCTATGATCTGCTTTTTTGATAGGGGGATCCTTTAACCACTGATGATGGTATGGGAATGCAGTAGACATAGTATACCTTGACTTCAGCAAAGTTTTTGATTGGGTCTCCCACGAGATTCTAGTAGAGAAGATGGAAAAATGCGGCTTGGATTACGCTATGGATATAGAGCTGGTTGAACTCTTATACCAGTGCTTCTCAACCTTGGAGACTTGAAGATGTATGGACACACATCTTCAAGTCGCCAAGGTTGAGAAGCACTGTCTTATACCCTATGAGTGTATGTTAATGGCTCCACGTTTAATCAGAAGAAAGTGCCAAGGGTCATACAACAGGACTCTCTTCTAGGTCCTTTGCTGTTCGACATATTTATACATGATTGGATGGGGGTTAGAAAACAGGTTTAGCAAATTTGCAGGGGACAGCATCAAGATTCAGGAGGATTGTGACAAGCTGGAACGAGCAGAAACTTGCAAGAGGAATTTCAACAGGACAAATGCGAAGTCCTCTATTGGTTGTAGGAAAGAAAAACGAAGGCAAGGGTATAGGATTGGGGGACCCTGTTGGGAAGCAGCACATAAGAAAAGGATCTGGGTGGAGCATAAGCTCCCCATGAGCCAATCGTCTGATGCAGCTGCAAAACAAGCAAAAGTAATCCTAGGCTGCATCAACACAGGTAGAGTGTCAAGATCAAAGGAAGTCATTGTTTCTCTCTAGTCTCTACTGATTAGGCTGTACCGAGAATGTTGTGTCACATTCCGGGTCCTATATCTTAGGAAAGTCATCAGCTTCAAGAAGTGTGGAGTTAAGTCTGATTCAGACCCTTCGGGCCAAAAGGCACTTCAACCTGCCCCCCCCCCTTTCCATCCTGAATTAGAGGTCTGCTCAATACTCCTGGGTTGGCCCAGGGAAATCGGATTTAGCCCTGAGGTGCTCGCGCGGTGCCCCCTGAACGTTTTGAACTACAACTCCGGTATTCCCCGGCCACCTCACGTGGCAAGGTTGGCAACGGTGGGCGTTGCGGGGCCAAAATCTAGGCAGCCCCCGGTGGCCTGTCTCCAATGGGGAGCAACGGCCCTCTGGCCCACGCCCCTCCCCCTTTTTCTTCCGGCGGCACCGAATCCCTTTCTCAGCCTTGGAAGGAGGCTCGATCACTTTCGTTTCTGCCTCGGCTCCGCTCCCTCTCCCGGCGCGTTTTAACTCCGGCCCCGAGCAGGAGCGCGCGCGCGAGGCGGGCGGAGAAGCGCTTTGCCCAGCGGCGAGCCGGACGTCCTCCGCGCTTCTCCGCGATGGGGAAACAGGTCCCCGACGTCTGCGGCCCCTCGTCCCCAACGGGGAAATGGCAGGCGGACAGAAAGGGCAAATGTTGCCACAAAGGCAAGAAAGTGACCCTCCTGTGCGCCGTTATCTTCGCCTTCCTTTTGGTCTTCTTCCTCGTTTTCCTGGGCTTATACGTGGAGCTCTTCTCTTCGGACCCGGTCGGGCAGCTGAGCGAATGCCGCGGGGAGTTGCAGGAGCAAGCCGCCCAGATGCGGGCCAGCAACGCGTCTCTGGGGAAGCGCGTGGAGGAGACGGAGGGCGACCTGGAGAAGGCGAGGGCCGAGAGGGACGGGCTGCGAGCCCAGCTGGCGGCCACCAACCAGAGCCTCGCGAAGACCAGCGCGGACTGGGGCTCCTGCCAGGAACAGCTGGTAAAGCCGTCTAATTTATTCTCATCCTTATTCTCTGGAGGGGCAAGTTCTAACCCAGGGGAGCACGATCCTATGGGGGATGTTGCATTTTTACCCCATCAGTATTGAGCCCTAGTTTAAGTTTAGTCTAGTCTAGTTTAGTTTAGTTTGACTTGACTAGTTTAGGACCCACCCACCCCCACAAGACAATCCAGACAATTCTGGGTGAGTCAAATATAACAAACAATAAAATACAATATGAATAATTAAAACACAAAATACATTAAGAACCAGAAAAATAAGAACGAAAAATAAAGGACAAGGACAAGATGGCAGTCAGGCCAACAACACACACACAAAAACATCTCCCTGTGCTTGACCGCCCCCCCCTCCCCTGCCATGAAGTAGGTCAGGCTGACAATGTGTGCCTGGCCCAAAGAAAGCCAGGAAGATTTGAAAGTCTATGCAGGTTTCCCGAATTTCAGATGCTCTCTCTGATAGTTTTCAACAGTAATGCCTAGACATGGCCTGCTGGCTGGGGCTTGTAGTTGAATGTATCTGGAGGGTACCAGACTATCTAATTCTGTCTAACCACTAGGCTACAACCTTTAATTGAATGTTGTGAGTTTGATAAGCAGGCACAGCTAGGCCAAGGATCCAGGCATGGAAATTGCAGAAGTGGAAACAGGAAAAATTGGTGGGTGATGGATGGCTGGAACTGATTTATATTCCCCCCCCCCAGGTTTCATATTTGTATTTTTTATGTTTTAACTCTGTAGGCCAGCTTGAGTCTTTTGATGTGATGGCCTTATTAATTGAATACAATTATCATTATTTTTTATTATTACTTGATATTAAAAATGGCTGGCCAACCTTTCAAACAGAATCATTTCAGGCAGCTAGTCCGTTAGCAACCATTTTAAAAAGACAACAAATAGAGTGAAATAATATATCTCAGATTTTACTTATTAAAATGTTTTGCTAATGAGTTTCCAGTATTTACCATCAGTCTCTCTCTCTCTTTCCAATATCAGCACTTTTAATAGTTACATTAATTTACGAAAGCAATAGAACAAATTATAAGAATAAAATGAAAAGCAGAAAGAGTCTCCTTTAACAAAAGCAATATGTCAAAATGTATCTTAACTACTGAACTTAATGATTGACAATAAACATGGCTTACCTCCAGCTATCAATTGCAAGTTGTTGGTTGTAGACTTAAGCTGTAGACTCCATTAGGCAAATGAAACTCTTGAGTGTAAAGCAGATTCCTCCCCCCCCCCCATCTGAGATTCTTTCAATATATTAGATCAGTGTTTCCCAACCTTGGCGAC